TATTCAAATTTAGATAAAGATAAAAAAGATGATTATTTAGAAGAAATATCTGAAGATTATAATGATATTCGTGATGATTATTATGCAAATCTTAAACAAATACGTTCAATATCAATAAATGATGCACGAAAAAAACGATGGATTAGTCAAAAAGAAAATTTTAATATAATTAAACCAACATTTTTAGGTATAGAAATATTTAATAATATTGATATTGAAAAATTAATTGAATATATTGATTGGAAACCATTTTTTGATGCAATGCAAATACGTGGAAAATATCCAAATCGTGGTTATCCTAAATTATTCGATTGTAAAGAAGTTGGCGCACAAGCTCGTATTGTTTTTAATGATGCACAAAAAATTTTATCAAATATTGTTACACATAAAATTTTTTCAATTCGTGCTGTTATTGGTTTTTATCCATGTCGAACATCAGGTGATGATATACTTATATTTGATCCACAAGATTCAACAAAACAAATTTCAACATTATTTGGTTTAAGACAACAAATGGAACGTGATTCAAATGTTTATATGTGTTTATCAGATTTTATATCATCAACTACAATTGATTATATTGGACTTTTTGCATTAGCTATTTTTAATGTTGAACAAGAAGCACAAAGATTAGTACAAAAAGTAATACACAAAACAAAAAACATAATAATAATGATAATAATAATAATTTTTATTATAGGAAATTGATGATTATTCATCAATTATATTAAAATTATTAGGTGATCGTTTAGCTGAAGCATGTGCTGAATATTTACATGAACGTGTTCGTCGTGAATTATGGGGATACGTACCAAATGAAAATTTAACAATAAAAGATTTACTTTCAGTTAAATATCAAGGTATTCGTCCAGCTGCTGGTTATCCAACACAACCAGATCATACAGAAAAATTAACAATATGGAAATTATTAAATGTTAAAGAATCAATTGGTATTGAATTAACAGATTCACTTGCTATGCTACCACCATCAGCTGTTTCGGGACTTTATATGGCTCATCCAGAATCAACTTATTTTGCTGTTGGAAAAATTAATGAAGATCAAGTATGTTTGAGTTTAGAAGCAAAATGAAATTGATAAGAAATAGAAATATAATCAAAAGTAGGAGTCCAGGACAATCGTTTGCAATGCTAAAAAAATAAAATATTTTCTTAGTATTACAAACAAATGAAATTTTGAAGAAATTCTAGTTGCAAGTAGACTTATCTATGAGTGTAATTTCAGATTTCAATTAATTTGTTTGTATATATTGTATTATAAACTAAAATTTTAGAAAAATGATTATAATTTTGTAGGGAAGCGGTTTCAAATTTGGAGGATTCTTTTGTTAGATAAGTCTAGAAAATAACTAATTTTGTCTTTTCGTAATATTTCGAAAAATTCAAAATGTAAATGTCAACATTCAATAACCGTTTACTCGAGAAATTATCTATGAATCCATTTCATGGAGTATATACCTTCATTTTTCACATGCTATTCTCGTCCTCACGTGATGCAGCGTGTGATTAAATCACATGCTCGGAAATTGAGGTTTACAGAAAGTGATTTAAAAATCCCTTTTCTATCAAATATGCGACCAAATTGTTGCTTTTCTCGAATGCAAACACTTCAGAAGATAATCTTATTTCTGATATTCGAGATTAAGACAAAGATTAAATTCAAGATTCGTTTTAAATAATAAGACTCTTTGAAATCTAATTTTATTGATTATATATATGTATCAGATAATAAATCTTTTACTTTTAATAGGTGAACATAATTTTTAAAATTTATCTATTTCGTACAATGGAAAATATGTAAATAAGTTTTTTATAATGTCAATTTTTTAATTGTATTTAAGCAATTTTTTGCGCACGTGTTTGAAGATTGGAATGGATGTTGCATATAAAGTATCATCTTTCCATGTTAGAATTTGATGTAAGTCAACAAAGCCGGCATTGTTTATCTTATCATCATCAAAATTTGCAAATTTTTGTTTCGGAAATGTGGGTGTATTTTTTTTGTTCTTGATCCAATCAGCTGCTATAGGCATATATTCATTCATAATTTCATCGGTAAAATCAATCCAATGTTTTTTTTTGTCTTTGAGAATATTTTCAATAACATTTTCGTTAAAATCTTCGACAATAAGAAATGAAGATTGAAGAAACATTCGATATGATTGATAATTCATTTCATTAGATTGGTGAAGATTGAGAACATTATGACCCACAAATGCAGCTAGATCAAGACAACCACTTGTATTACCAATAATACCTTTAACATTTTTTAATTTTAATATCTGTAGAAGAAATTCAAGATGAAATAATTTTCCGTAATCATGATTCTCAATTTCATATGGAAAACAATTTGTTTTATTGTCAATGTTACTAATTCCCTTTGATTTTTTAGCTCTTGAATCAACAAATAAATACCATGTAGCATAATTTTTTTGATTTAAATATTTTATGAATCTGTTAAAAATTTCAATTTCATCTATGTTTTGATTATCATTAGCTTTTGATGAATAACGATATTGTATAATAATTAAAGGTTTTGAACTAGTCTTCATTTTAATAGTTTGAATTACTTGTTGAACTTTTTTTTTAATTTTATTATTAACCTTTTCATTAACAGACCATTTTCCATATGATTTATTTAAAATTTTTGTAGTTTTATCTCGCCCAGATGTAAGAAAATAGTTAGATATTAATGTAGTTAATAGTTTTTGTTCGCAATAATAAATATTTTCATTTTTATTATGATGTTTTTTCAAATAACCGACCACTTTGGCATAACGAGCGTTTGGTCGATACTTGTTATCTTCACCAAAATTAATTGGAGGAAGAAATGAGTCTTTAAAACCGAGATGTTCAGCAAATCGAAGACAACGTTTTACTTGAGAGTATGTATTCATTTGACTTTCAGTTTCTTCCAACGTTTCTTTTCCATCATAAGATAATTGAATTAATGGTAATTGTTTCTTTTCATGTTTGGCTAACATTAAATAAGTAAGAGTATGATAAATATCACCAGAACTGTTTGTCGGTGGTGAAAATATTATGTAAGTGCCTTCAGATGATTTTAAATGAAAAGGATCATCAGATAAAAATAGATGTGAATCTAAGTTTATATCCTGAAAGTTTTTGTTAATTTCATCAATCGATGAAGTAACAGAACTATAAGCCAATGCCATAATTATAATATGCTCTAAATAATTTATATATATATATATATTTTTTTTCTTTTTTGATTATATCTAAAGAAGAAAAAAAATATACATTAAATGAATAATAATACAGACCGAAAAGCAAATGTTGCGTAATGAGAAAATATCGAATTGAAAATGAATGAAGTTGATGAAAAAAAATCAGCAATTTAAGTAATAAAGTTGATCGAATGTTCTAGAACACGGTGAGCACGAAGACTAAAAATAAATAATATTTACTTTTTATTTACTTCTTCCTTATATCATGTCAGGTGATGCCACCTATGATGCTAGTATGATAAAAAATGCTGAACATGAAACAGCAGATTAAAATTGAGTTTCACAGGACAAAAGCATTGATTGGTGATCAGGAAAGAACCTATCTGAATTTGATAGAGTCAATATAACAAAAAGAAATAAACATTTAACTATTTTATTGTGTTAATCATTTGATTTTTAAATATTCATTTGCTTAATTTATATGTAATTATGTAAAAAGACTCATTGATACTTGAAAGTACCAAAAAAAATAAGAATAAAAAAAAAAAAGAAATAATGAATGGAGACATTTTGTATTGTTTACATATACAAAGAAAATTCATTTTGTTGTTTTAAACGTACGTCATTCTAAGTGTCAATTTAAATGTATTTGTTCTCATTCAGTTTAAATCTTTATTTTCTTAAATATTTTTACGTATAGAAAAAAAAAAATATATCGATTGTTTATTTTAGGTACGTGATTATGCTGATCGAAAAGGAATGTCAGTCAAAGAAGTTGAAAAATGGTTATCACCAATTTTAGCTTATGATGTTGATTCACAATAATACATTCAAAGTGTGATTCTTCGAAAAGTTTTGTCTTTCCACAGTTATCATACTTTTATTGTTATATTCTAATGTTGCTATAACTAGTGTTATAAGAAATATATTTAGGTGATAGATCATCACATTATTGTTTCCGTTTATTTTAGATTTAAAATAAAGAACAAATATGGGGCTTAATCGAGATGGTATTCTCAGAGTAAGAATTTGAAATATTTGTTTTTGTTTCAATTAACTATCTATTTGTAGTATATCGTTGCAATACATTTTCTTTGTACAAATATGTAAGATTTATTAGAGATAAAAAAAATACGCTAAAAAATGCATTCAGACTTTTCTTAATTTTGCATCTATCTAATTGAATCTTTCAACATATCTGATTCTATTTTAAATAGATATGATGCTCTTTAGACTAAGTTCATTTGCTCAATAATTCTTGAGAAGATTTAATGTAGTGAAGTTAAATTCTCATTGATTCTTTTTGAATTAAATTAAATATCAAAGTCAAATATATTTATTTTCTTTTTATTAGGGCTCTGATAACCGACTGGTTACCAATGTCGTACATTTTGAGTCAAGTGACTATTATAGTGCTTGGTTTTTGGGCAGTAATAAATCGTGACAGTGCTATTCTAGTTGAACTTGTATGTTTTATATAGTTATTTTATCGTAATATTCTTTTGTTTAGTTAATGTTAGTGGAATTTTTTTCGATTATTCTTGATGCAATTGGTATTGGAATGCATTTTCAAATTGCAAGACGAGGTAAATTTATCTTTTTACTTTATATTTTAATGTATAAAATCTTTTGTTTTTTTTATAGCTTATCTAGTTACTGGTTATAGCTCTAATTTTGTTCTTAGTGCTATGTAAATTTCTTTTGTTTTTTTCAAAAAATACAAGATCATAGTTCTATTTTTCTTAGATTTGCTATATTTCTTTTGCTACTGAAACCGATAATACTTCTATTATTAAATAAAGTCAGACAAGATCGTCTTGGTGATGCAGCATCACCAACATTCGGAGGTTGGGGTCCTAATACACCAACTCCTGGTAACATATGTTTATGTATTCTTTAATCATCACTTATTTTGTTTTTTGTTTATTTACTAGTCCCGGGATATACACCAGTTGACGAACAAACTGCTTAATTATAGAGATTTATAAAAAGTAAATTTTTTTTTTTGTAATTTTGTGTAATTGTTATTTTGACAAATGAAAAAAACAATAAATTTTTTTTTGTTGCTGTGATAATGTTCTATAATAAAATTGCGAATAAATAATCAATAAATACGAATAAAATATTGACATGATATATTTAAATTCTCACAAGATTAATTTTTTGATTGTTTATAGAATGAAATTTTATTCAAATAATCTCAGAGAGAGATAAGGAGACGATTTCGTTGCTATTTGTTATTGTTCAATTTATAGTAAAATATATATCTGATTAAATTTTCAATTTAGTATTGAACACAAACATTCATCGAACTGTGATTTTGCAGTAATAAAAAGAATAATTGAACTTGTAAAGCATCATGATAGCTTCAATCAATTAGTCAGTTAATTAGATCAAATATTTAATTATGATGGAACTATAGGCTTTTGATTGTTCTTAAATTTAATGAATTCACAAATCCATGGTGATCTCTATTCTAAAAGAATTTAAAAAAAAA